GGGGGGGGCTGGAGATGCCCTGCGTGGGCATCCTCAAGGCTGTGAGCTTTGCAAGGAGGTGTACCCACTGCTTGGAAACTGAGCAAGAGGCGCCACCTACAGGACGTGAAGGCCTTAGCTGGGGTTTATAGGCTTAGCCTCTGCGGTGGAGACCACAGGTTTTCCGGTTTGGGAAGACGGGTCTTGCAGGAGAGTTGGCTTTTTCGGGCTTTTGTTTCCACCACCCACCGCACACCCCCTCCCCCCAGCAAGTCCTGGACTGACTTTAACAGCTCACTCTGACGAAGGTGCAGGACACAAAGCCCAGAGACTCAACAGGCTTTTAAAAACGCAGAGATGGGTTCGTAGCAGATTGTGTGCACGAGGCTTTCCAGCTGGCAGCCAGAGGTTCTCTCACAGGTTTCTGTGGTCTTGTAGCCCCGACTCATCGGATTCCAGATATCAGGCTGAATTAAAACCGGGGAAGGTTAGGAAGCTTGCCTTCCCTGGGATTGCACAACTGGTTATGGGGTGCAGCCAAAGTCCAAAGGTAGTGCCTGTGTGTTTTAATTATAATGTTTGAGTTCTTAACTATACGTAAGGCACTGTTAAGTGTTTCCTATTATCTGATAATTCTCAACAGCCCCGTGAAGAGCCCTGTACTATCATACTGGTTTATAAGAGATGAAGCCCTGAGAAGTCCTTTGTCCAAAGCCACGCAGCCTGCAGAAACCTAAGAGCCAGGCTCAAACCTAGAAAAGCTCTATTGAGAACGGGAGGTGTAACCACTACGCGTTGTCAGCAAGTAGTTCACACTTGGTGAGACAATTCGGGTGTTGGGGTTCTTGTAGTCAGGATCTTGTGTTCTGTGGTTCTTCACAAGGTTCTTCTTTTAGGATAGCCGTAAGTCAGCTCCAAGTTCCTTGTTCAGATTCTGGGAAACCGGGATTACAGAGCCCTCTGGGGGACCAGCAGGAGACGCCAAGGCGTTTAGCTTTCAGAATGGTGACATTCCTTAAGACCAGAAGAGTCCTTTTAGGTAACATTCAGGGCACTCAGCCTCAGCCTCAGGGAAATCGGAATTTCAGAGCGCTCTAAGCGGCCAGCAGGAGTCGCCACAGGCTTTATCATCCAGGTCCTCTACTTGAGGCCACTTGAGGCTCTGTGCAATGGAAGCAAACGCCCTCCTGCGGCAGCCTCCCTCTAGACTGAGCAGCCCGGAGCCAGCCATCCCCGCGCGCACGCGCAGTGCTTCCAGGGGCAGCCAGTTCCCGGGGTCCGCCGGGCCCCGCCTGCCCGCCGCGCCCGTCCCCTGCGCTTGCGCTCCCGCCCGCCGCTCTCTGGTGCGGCCCGGTGGCCGTGACTTCCGGGCTGCTCCTGGGCCGCAGGGGGCGCCGGTGTTGCAGAGGCGGCCTGGGCGGGACGAACCGGACCAGGCTCGGCAGCTGCAGCAGTAGCCGCTGCGGAGCTCAGCCTCAGCCGCCGCCTCGCCATGGCGGGGAGCAGCTCGCTGGAGGCGGTGCGGAGAAAGATCCGGAGCCTGCAGGAGCAGGCGGACGCCGCGGAGGAGCGGGCGGGCAGCCTGCAGCGCGAGCTGGACCAGGAGCGGAAGCTGCGGGAAACCGTAAGGGACCCACCCATCACCCCGGGGCCCCCCACGCCGCACCTGGCGCACCTAGGCCATCTGGCACCCCGCTACTCAGCCCTGCCTGTGTATCCCTCTAGTCTAAAGTAAAACCTCTTGCGGCGGAGAGCGGGAGTGCTGTTGAGAAGGTTCTGGGAGCGGCATTTTTCCTGTGAGGGGGCCGCATTTCTGGGGTGATCATGAATCGGGTCCCCGGGATGCGTGCTTTGCGCCGCTGGCATTTATTTACTCACCCTGGGGTCTGAAGAAGGCGTCCTTCCTTTTGAAGCTCAGTCCCGGGAGAAGCACTGGGACTCGGTGGCCTGGGGATGCTGGACTTTTGTCTCTGTTGATCCCGTTTCCTAGAAGCTGTCTCTCTGTGGAGGTTAAAGACATTGACAATACCGGGTTCCGAGGTTAAGCGCTACCTTGCATGGCTTGCAGCCCTTGTACCCTTGGGTTTCTTAGCCCTCCCATCTCCCAAGTAGATATTCCTCGACAATAAATACCCCTTTGTTACGAGTTTTGGCAAAAGTTGTCAACGGTTACTGGGTGTATCTCTTGCTGTACTTCTCCAGATTGAACATAGACCCTGGCTTCTTTTTATCATAAGGCAAATGTATCCAGCAAGCAGCAACGGGGTTTCAAAGGGAGTGTAGGTATTAGGTATTTTTCGGTTTAGAGAAAGGGAGAGTTTTAAAATCAAGGTATTCAAACACCTTGGAAATGTTAGGAGAAACAGTTAACATGCTGTCCAGCCGCGCATAATATACACAGGACTATTCTAAACTGAGTCATTCCTCCTGGCTGAGTGTTTGGAACGGCTGTATTT